CGGGGCCGTATCTCCGGGGCTGCGGCGCCCCGCCCCCGAGCGCCGCACGGCGTGAATGGCAGGTGGCTGCCGGCGGGGCGGAGCGCGAGGCACGGCCCTGGGCCAGACCTAGCGGTTCGCTTCGGCTTCCGTTCTCAGCTAGCAGCAAAACGCCCTCATCCCCAGTGTCAGGTTCACTTTTTTGTTTAAGAAGAGGTGGGGCGTTAAGGCAGAGCCTGGGAAGGTGGTTTTCAAAGACGCGTTTCTGGGTGGAACCGTCTTAATAGCTAGGAGGTGGTCGTGTTAAGCAAACTTGAAATTGAGAGGAAAAAAGGCAGAATTTCTTAACTCTTTTCTTTTCCATGGTGTTTTTTCTTGAAAGAAGAGCGCAGTCTGCAGGAAGCATCTCCAGACGAGTAAGATACAGCTCTGACCTAACAGCGTCACTGTAACCTTGGCATGCCCTCGTAGCGCCAACGTTGCCAGTGCTCCTGAGAAAGGAAGAAATGTTACCAGCACTTGACACATTACCAGTTTTTCAAGAGCATCAGAGTCCCAGGATAATGGCAGCTGCTGATGGTATTTACCCACATCCTCCACAAAAGCAGGAAGATTCAGATTATGGAAGAAGGAAGAAAAGACAAATTCCAACAGAGCTCCAACAGACTTAGGGGAAACACTACAGGTCTATACTTTATTGATCATAGGAAGAGAGTTTGCAGGAGGAAAAAAAAAAAGGAGAGGAGACAAGAAGTGGACGCTGTGAGAAAACCTTGCTTCTTGCAAGAGTCATAGGAAAAGGAAAAGTCATAGCTGAGGCCCTTTGGAGGCCTGGAGGTGAATGAGAAGAAGGAAGTGAGAAGACCCTGCAGAAATAAGACAGCCTGCCCCTCCCCAGCTGCCAGCATCATGTGTGAAATCTGCACTTCTGTATGCAGGTGGGAGAAAACACTCCCCACCTGGAAACCCTGCCCCAAATGCCCAGGAACAGGAAAACTCAAGTCAAGGGCAAAAAGCTACTCAAGAAGAAAACAGAAAATTAATTCTGTTTCTAATGCCGACAAAAGGAACCATGATGGTTGGCCTGATAAAAATCCCCCCACACACACACACAAGAATCATGAAGTGGAAGCAATGGTAGTTCCACCCACCAAACTGGTGGCTGTGTGTACACAGCTCGGAACAAGAGCTCCAAACCAGGGACAGACTGGACAAACACTAGGAAGGAAATCATGAGAGTTGACCAAATTCAGAAAAGAAATTGGAAATAAAGACAAAATCTATCCCAGGAAGAAAGAATAACTACCAGCTACTTAAGGGAGAATATATTTCAATGAAAATAGTTAAAAGGATTTTGAAGAATGGCAAGAAAATCAAGAAATTGAAAATAAGATAAAGAAGTAAAAAGATTCGAGGGAAGTTGTTGAAATGAAAGTCAGGAAAGAAGGACCAAGATACACATAACTGGAGTCCTTAAAGTGGGCACACAAGGCTGAGAGTGAGTGGGTACTGGAATCATTAACTGGGGAAATCATGCAGGAACAGGGGAAAATTTAAATCTATAAACCCAAAGTGCCTTCCATGGATTGTGGGAAAACAGTCAGGAATAATCAACTTCAAAACATATCTTAGTGAAACTTTTAAACCTTAAAGGCAAGAAAGATCATGAAGATAAGAAATTAGGCTGGCATCAGAGAGCAATGTGGAAATGAGGCAACAGTGTAGCAGGATGGCCCAGCAGCAGGGCTCCAGCCAAAGTTGCTTTCCCAAAGCACTGAGGCCACAGACCAATAGGCGAGAACCAGTACAGGATTCAGAGGGTGCCACACACGGGCTTTCCAAGGATTCCTAGGGAGCCATTGGGAAGAACCAGTCAAGCGTGGTGCAGAGCAGCCCCTGTGCTCACCGACCATAGCCCAGTGGCAGCTCCTCATAATCAAAGGTGGAATTGCCACGAGATGCAGCAACTCCACTGCTGAGCAGGGAGCTAAAGTAATTGGAAACAGGAAACCAGATACCTTGTAGTATTGTACACCATCTTAGACAGGTGGGTAAACAGCACAACCCTGTTCTCCAGGTAAGTGCCACTGCCCTGGAAAAGAAGGAAGTGTACTGACGCTGCAGCGCACATGCACCCCCTTAGCATCTGTGTCACACATAGGGATGCACGCCACCATGTCCCTGATGTGAGGTGCCCGGGCAGCCTCCTCACAGGCAGAAAGCAGAGTGGGTGCTGGAGGATGGGAGGGGGAATCCATGTGATGGGGACAGTTTCAGGTGGAAGAGGACAAGGCTCTGGAGGTGGACAGCAGTGGCAGCTGCAGAATGAAGGGACTGTCGTGAGGAATAGGAAGTTCAATGGTCCATCTTCAGAATTTAGTATTCAGCCTTAATTGGATCCATTGTAGATAAAAAGATAATGATTACCCCACACACACACCCCACCCCAAAATAAGCAAAAAGCCAAAGGCTTGGCCAGTACTGTGGGTGAGAATGTGAAGACCAGGCCGGCTCTGTGAGCAGTGTGGAGTGTTCCAGGACATGCTCTGAGAGTTAAAAAACACACAAGTTATGAAAGCAAAGTACTGTGGCAGGTATCAAAAGCTGTTCTTATATCAGAAAGACAATATGCACACATGGTCTGTATGCTTGATAGGGTTTGCTTGTTTGGGCAAAAACATACACAGAACCACACAAAGTACTGATAAACCAGAAAACAATATAATTGGTGACCAGCAGGGGTGGAGAGAGGGATAGGAAGAGGAGGAGGAACCTTTTTTCTGGATTTGAGTTTTGCAAATATGTAATGTTCTACATATTCAAAAAGAAAAAGAAAAATAACAGGTGGGGGTGGGGAATAAGACAAATCCAAACAGAAATACTTGAACCCAACCATGTTGCAAATGAATAACATAAGAAAATAGTGCTTTCAATCAAAATACTTCAGCCATTCATCCCCAGGTTTTTTTAATTCTCCCCTGCCCGCTCCCCAGTGTATATATATAGTGTTATGGATATAGCAATTAAACTACTCAATGGGTCCTGAGCACTCAAGCAGAGGAGCAAGGTTTTGGGGAACTGGAATTTCCACCATGGAAGGAGGCAGATACAGCATGAACTGGGGAAAGGCCAGCAAGATCTCTACCTGGACCTGGGGCTGGAGAGGACAGTCAGAACTCATTTCACACACACACACACACGCATGCTCACATGCTTGTGCACACATGGCTCAGGGGCCAGACCACATGTGCGTATTTCCTAGATCTGTCCACGGGGGGCCCACATGGTGACATCAGGCAGCCGGGAGCCCACCTTGCGCCCAGAGCCTGCTTGCTGAAGACCACTCCGCATCTACCATAAGAACATTTCCTGAAGACATGATTGATTCCATAACTGGGGCCTGGAAGGTACTAGATGATCCCACAGCATCTTACGATAGAAAGTAAAGAAGGACAGAAGAAAGAGTGATCCTGTGCAGCTCTAGAGCGACAGCAGCCTTCATGAAGCACGCCCCTGACCTGCAAAACCTCGGACAACGTGCACCTCAAAACAAACCTAATCCAGTAGGAACCTATGAGTCCAATCTGAGCACAGGTGGGGGAGCACAGGTGCCAGGTTGGGGGGCAGCAGTCTTTCTTCCCATGGATGCCAGCTGGTAGCAGTGTGGGTTGCCATTGCCAAAAGCCACAGCAGAGGCTGGAGACACCAGGTCAGTGACACTAGGGGAGGGCTGGATTGGCAGTCTTTAAGGGCCTTTTAACAGGATCCTTATGAGAGGCAGGGAGGTTTGTAACTGGTGGGGAAATGATCACAGGTTGGCAAGACATCCAAAGCCAACATTGCTGGTGAGGAGTGATGGACATCCTGCATCTACAGAGACCCCAGAAGGATGTGACGTCATGACTTGGTGTCAACCTGAATCTAATCATGAATATGTATGGGAGAAAAAAAAAGCCAGGAACGTTTCGTGAGGTAACTGGTGTGTATTCTTCAGAAGTGTGGTGAAAAATAGGGAAGAGCTGTCTCAGACGAGCGGCCTCAAGAGGCACCTGACCGAATGCAGTGCAAGCTCCCACACCAGGTGTACAAATGTCATGGAGGACATGAGCAGGGCAGGGGCAGGGGAAGACTGTAAAATCAGGTGACCGTGTGCTGTTGCCACGATTCAATGTGTCCCCCAAACCTATGCTGAAACTCAACTTTCAGTTGCCCAGCACTGGGAAGTGAGCCCAACGAGACCTGCTCAGGTCACAAGGGCTCTGCCAGCAGAGGGGTAGGCACTGCCCCGAGAGTTTGCAAGTCAGCTCTCCCTTCACCCTCCCGCAAGGGTAAACACAGCCTCCTCCCCTCAGCAGGATGCAGCCTTCGAGGCGCCACCTTGGATTGGGGCCTTGGACGTCCAGCTTGTGCTCTGTGAAATACCCTGTCTGCAGTACTCTCTTGTGCTCTGTGAAATACCCTGTCTGCAGTACTCTCACAGCATCGTGAATCAGGAATGCAAGACTCCCTGGTGTGCTGACCTACATAGGACAATGTTGTTCTCAAGAAACATGAACTCGAGTGTCCACAGACCCAGGATAACCAGCTGATAACTAGCCTCTCCTGAAAGACTCGGAGAGAATATAGGCAGGATGATAAAATGGGTGTGGCAAAACATTAAAAATTGGTGGACCGGGGTGAAAGGTGTGAATTCTCTGTTTTGTTCATTACAACTTTTCCCAAGTTTGACGGTGTGTATTTAAGAGGTGTAGTAGGCTCTTAGGGTTTAGTTTCAGTTT